AACTTTAAAAATGCAGATGCCTTTATGCCAAGTGAAATAAGTCAGACAGAAAAAGACAAATACTGTATTAATTTCTCTTCTATGTGGAATTTAAAACTGAACTCATAAAGATAGAGCAGTTGGTGGTTGGGGGAGGGAGAATAAAGATGATCAAGGATATTAACTTCCCAGTTATAAGACAGTAAGTTCTAGAAATGCAATGTACAGCATGGTAACTATAATTAACAATACTTACTGTATTGTATATTTGAAAGTAGCTATGAGAGCAGACCTTAAAGTTCTCAATAAACAAACACACAAATCATAACTATGTGAACTGATAGATGTGTTAACTAACCTGGCTGTGGTAATCATTTAACAATAGAAACATTTATCAAATATTCAATGTTGTACACCTTAAACTTACACAATGCTTTATATATAATATGTATATCATAATATACATATATATTATATATATGCTATATATATGTGTGTGTGTGTGTGTGTGTGTGTGTGTGTGTGTCAATTTTTATCACCAAAAAGCTGGGGGGAAGGGGAGAATGCTGATATCTGGGTCAGATCCAGAGGTTATTATTTAACTGGTCTGGAATGGGGTCTGGGCATCCTAAGTTTTAAAAGCTCCCCAAGTGATTCTAATATAGAGCCAGATTAAAAACTGCATGGATTTTACCTGCCTCATCTGCATTTACTAAATTGAAAATAGGAATTTATCATCAGATTACTGTCTCAGTGTTTTGTTTCCAATGTATTTAGTGTGTCTCCTTAATAGCTACTAAAATACAAACAGATTATAAAAGATTTAAAGTGAGGATATGGGACTTTCAGCACTTCATATTCAATCTAGGGGAAAGGTCATGGTATTCCCATAATGGGTTTGTGGTCCTTTAACGTGAGTCCCCACTGCTTAAATTAAAATTAATTTTTTTCCAAGTAATACAATTTTTAATACGTGAAGAACCCTCACAAATCATAAGAAAAACAAATGCGGCAGCAGGAAAATGTGCAAAGAACATGAATAGACTATTTACCAAAAGAATACAAATGGGCCAAACATGATTTTTCAATTTCACTAGTGATCAAAGAAATACAAATTAACACTAAGATACAATTCTTCCATCAAATCAGCAACTTTTAAAAAACAATAGCAAGAATGTAAGCAACAAATACTCAAGCTCCTAGATGGAATAAACTTAAAATATTCTTAAAAAGCAGTTTGACGGTACATGTCAGAGCCTTAATGTGCTCACACCCTTCTAAATAAGAGTAAAAACTAAAAACAGCCCAAAGAACCATCGTTAGGGAAGCTCTCTTAGTTAGCTAATTTTTTATAGAGAGAATATTATGTTTTGGTTAAATGCTCAAAATGCAATTAAGAGGAAAGGAAAAGAGAAGTATGTATACACAATCCGATAATTTTTTTTAATTTTTTGTTATATATTATGAAAAGCAACATACTCAATGTTAACAAAAGCAGGGTTTGAGTGATTTTACTCTACTTCACAATTTTCTACTTTCAAATATTTCTACAAAGGATTTACTACTTCAAACATTTCATTTCTAAATTTCCAAGAGTTAACTGATCAAGCGTAAGTCAGAAAAACTGTGAGGTAAGATGATACCTTATCATGATGCATTTCAGTGCACAGATGTGTATGGTGAATAATGGGTGGTGAGATCTTGGCTTCAATGGGACTAAGTTGTTCTAAGCCAAGATGAGAATTCAGGTGATCTCAGACAATTTTTCTCAATTCAGGTGATCTCAGACAGTTGTACACAAAAAAGCAGGTCATTTTAGTCAAGACAAGGTGAAGCGACCCTATGGTTTTACTCTAGGTTAAATAGAGTTATGGAAAAACAAGTATTGAAAAAACTTTTCCCCACTGCCATGTACACTGATGCATATAAGTTAGTCTATTCAGAGAATTTCTTGAACTGAATGAAGTCTGATATCCATTATTCATATTCACTCAAGTCAAAATTTCCTGTAAGAGTAGACTTTCAGATCTAGGCACAAGTTAAAGTGACTTTCAGAGAGGAACTCACCCCTATCCCGAGAGAAAATGTTCTACTCAAAAAACTGCCAGGTGATTAATAGTATAAGATGATAATCCAATAGCCCTGGTCGGTTCTGTTCAGTGGATAGAGCACTGGCCTATAAACTGAAGGGGCCTGGGTTTGATTCTGGTCAAGGGCACATGCACGGATTTGTGGACTCGATCCCCAGCAGGGGGTATGCAGGAGGTAGCCAGTCAATGATTCTCTCTCATCACTGATATTTTTATCTTTTTCCGTCTCCCTTCCTCTCTAAAATCAATAAATATATATTTTTAAAAGGTAATCTATAAAAATAAATGAGACATTTGATAACAGCCCTAAACACTCAAGACCATCACATAGTATTTTTATATTAATATGCACTACAAAATACTCTATTTTTGCTCATTTTCAAAGCCCCCAAATGAAAGAACTGCCAAAATTGTCTTGGTATGATACCTCCAAAAGGAGTCCTAAAACAGTAATATATTTTCAAAAATTTCAAAGGGAATTATCTAATATACACGCACACTAAGCTGCCCGCTAGTTAACTATGAACTAAAAAAGTTTTCATAAACACCTGTTGCCCAGATACCAAACTCAATTAAGCATTATCATGCACTATATAAGCCTAGTCATTACTTATTTTCACTCTTATAAAAAAACACATTGTTAAATTATTTGGTGTAAGAGAACATTTAGCATAAGTCCTTCAACATTTAAGCTGCTGCCAAACAAAAGCTTCTAAATGGAGCATTTTCTGAATTATTACCCTGATAAAATATTATAGCAAGAATCTCAGTTTTTACTTTTCCTGTGTTTCCATTCTGTGTAAACAGCTGAATTCAAATTTCAACATCCAAGAGATACTGATAGGCACATCCAATTTAAGGTTCACCTGAATGTCCATGTTGTTGCACTCAAGTCAGCTCACAATTTATCCCATCTTTACAATTTATATAACTTTTTAACTGCCCTTGCTATAAATTTGAGTGTACCCCTTTCTCCAATTATGTGACTCAGAAACCTGAAGTACAAATTACCATGTCAAAAATGCACAATGTCTTAACTTTTCTGGGATAACAATATGGACAGTTTAAATGTCAACTTAATATTTAAACTTAGGCTGTTCTAACTTTGCTGCTTTGCTTAATTCTAGGAATACCATTCATACATGTCTTGTGTGAACAGTACCTCCTGAAACTGCAAGGCACAGCACAGGCAGTCATATACAGCGACCATGCACCTTACTTAACATTGGATTCTCCATGATTACCTTAGAAAACTCTGCATATTTTCAAAAGCCACAAACTTACTAAATGTTGTGAACAACAGAAACTAAATTATAGATTCAGTTAATTTACTTTGAGGTTTTAGTTAGTATACAATTCAGAATAGACAAGAAACAAACCAATTGTGTTTTAGTTTTAAACACTGGTCAAGGTAGTCAAAGAGATTTGGAAAATATGAACAAAGCACACCTAACTTATAAGCCAAACAGGGAGAGTGCCCATGAAAACATTTCTCATGCTACCTTGCTACCTCTACAATAGTATCTATTTTCAAAGATAATTTTTTCACCAACTTCTTCTACCTGGTTAACAGATTAGTACAGAACATAAGAATGCTTGATCAAACAATTTTATAGGTATTAAAAGCTTTAAAATTATTAAATGCAAAACTGAAATATACTTAGAATCAGCCTCAGAACTCCAAAGTCTGCTTCGCTCATGTATTCAATTGATGAGCTTCAATTAAATCCCTTTCCCTATTAATTTTAGGAAAAGAACTACCATAGGAATTCAATAGATATTAAAACAGTAAGCATTTCTAATGACTGCAAAACTCTTAACATAATATATGAATGTGTTTTTTATTATAAATTGTAAAGCTTTAAAACCAATCATTCTTGTATTGAGTCTATATAAATTTGGTTAGCTATTGGTTTAATTAACCAATATTTTTTCTTCAAATATTCTTTGTATATCAGCAATATGTTGTCTTCATGTGTAAGAACAAAACAACAAAAAAACTTTAAGAAAAATAGAAGGAAAAACCGTCACCCATAAAACCAAAATTTCCCCCTTTAATGTAGTAATAAGTAATGCTGTTGTGATCTATTAAGTACCATGTAATTTAAAGAAATTCCTAATCATAAGACTCTTTAATAATAAGAACCCACCAATTACTAACAATTCAAACCTCATCTTTCTCCCACGATGAGTTCTCAATACTGTCTTTGCAGTGCACACTATCTGATGTGATAATATGGAGAAAATAGGATGTCAAACATGTAATAAATAAGATCCTTATACCAGCGAGAGTTTAACAAACAAATTTCTAGCAAACTTTTAGGAAGAAAGGGGAAACTTTGGGGGGAAAAACAAACATTCTTTTCAATGAGAGTGACAACTTAGAATAGAAAAATATGCAAGGTATAACTAGCTTATCATGCATTGAATGAGGAAAAGCACATAAAACTACTGTTTTAGAAGAAACCGTTATTAGAGAACTTTAACGAACAATAAGACATGTGATTTCAGACACCATAAGCTTATGTGTGGCTATATAATAAAGCAAGGTGCCTATTCCTGAGGATAATGTACTTGGTAATAATGCTGAGCAGTGAGTATTAAATCTAAGCAGTGCTAAAAAAGCAATGATGAAAGTTCAGGTAATATGTTACAGAGAAAGAGACATTAGAAATTCCATTATTTAAAAATAATCTTGTCCCTATCATTAACCATTTAAATTTTTTTTTTTAACTAATGTGCTAAAGTGCACTGAAAACCTCAGAATAGGCTTTCTTAAATTGGCCATGTCTTGTTAATACACTGCAGTCTTCAAATTTACACAGAGCTGCAGGTCTCTTGGACTTTTTCAAGTGTCACTCATTTAACTGAGCCTGAAAGCTGAGAAATGCCATCAGGTGCTCTACAGTCAGTTTAAAAAACATCCTCTACCTGGTATCTCTGCAGTGATTGTCTTGCTGCTCCCTGAAACCTCTTCATCATCATCTGATGAGCTCGTGCTTGAGTCACAAGTCAGGTCACTATCACTGGTACTACTGTCCTGCAACAGGTTATATTTCTTACGCGCAGCAGCCTCCCGTTTCTGCCTCAGTAGCCTGATTCTCTCCTTTTGCTTTTGGCTCCGGTGACCTTTAACCTTGGTGACTCGGCCATTCTGTTTATCACTGGATTGCCGGTTTTTCTTGGCAGCCATAGTAGACGTTTCACTTTCAGATCGGGACCGTCGAGACTTGCGCCCAACTGTGGCACCAGACACGCCGGAAGGATCTCCTTCTACAGCTGTTTCTGCCTGGGAGGGTTCATTCTCTTCTGCAGAAGACAATGTATCTGAATCAGCCAAGTGACCACTAGAGGAAGGGGAAAGCATGCAGTGGTTAGAGGAGTCACTCTCATAAACTTGGCCAGTTGTCGGCTTGTCACTCTCTGTGGATGCTAACTGAGACTCAGAAGAGTCCCTTCTCAGTTCCATCAACAAGCAAGGCATTGAAGAAAGAACTGCAGAATCCACTACACCATCTTTCTGAATTTGAGATTCCAGTTCTACAGATCCATCTTCCTCTTTAGTTGTCTCTTGTTTGGATGTTTTTGGTGGGACTTCAGACTCAAGTTCTTCGACTTTTCCCACTGCCTCCTCCATTTTCATTTCACACTTTTGAATTAATCATGGAGCAGGGTCAGGGAAACTATGTCAAAGATGCAACAGGAAAGCACCTGGGCAAAAACACACAAAATCAACAAAGAGAAATGGCAAATTATTTAATTAACACAATATGCCTACCTTTCTAAGTGGGTAGCAAAAGTTATCATCATACAAGCTTTTAAAATATACATGCCTTAATATATTCATCAACAGTAAAATTCAAAAGACTGTGTACTATCAAACACAGCTACCAAAAATGGCACAATATTAATCCTCTGTTCCTGAACTTGCATGAACAGCAAGCAATCAAATAAGGATTTTTCAACTTTAAAACTTAATTTCATGTGTTTAAGAAATATTTTCAAAATTATGATATAGTTAATATGTACATTTTGGGTTTAATATAAATGAAAAAGTATGCTTAAAAACTGATCTAGAAAACAAGTTAAATGAAATTATTAGTTTTACACTCAAATCATCAAAGGAAGGCAAAAGGGAAGTTACAGTACAGTCAAATTCAATGTACCCTTATATTAAAAATAACAACAAAAAACACCTTCAACTAGGTGCATCTGGCAAATGCGCAACTAAAGTAATTATATGCATTGACCTGTCTGCCATTCCTCCCAAAGAAGTTGCTCTAGAGAGCTTAAGATGAAAGGCCTGAATCTGCAATTCCTTAGTACCCCCCTAGTTCCCACAGTACTATCATGCTGAATTTGTCTAGTGTTTAAACATGTTTTATTTAATAAACAATAGCCACTAAATACAGATCAACTACTTTGTGAACCGAGAAAACCTAATGCACTCTATTCCAAGAATGGCTTAAGGCAATGGTCGGCAAAGTCATTAGTCAACAGAGCAAAATATCAATAGTACAATGATTGAAAACTTCTTTTGAGAGCCAAATTTTTTAAACTTAAACTTCTTCTAACGCCGCTTCTTCAAAATAGACTTGCCCAGGCCATGGTATTTTGTGGAAGAGCCACACTCAAGAGGCCAAAGAGCCAAAGTTTGCCAACCACAGACTTAAGGGATTTAAAAGAAAATACTCTACACACATTTTCCACCTCACCGGTATATGCTAACTTTAGAACCTAACATTATTATTCTATTCACTGTGTGTGCCTCAATTCCATTTAATCATAGAGAAACAGGACATAATCTTTAGCCATAGAGTAAGGACCTATACAGTGTAAACTTTATTAACTGACAGTTTTTAAAAGAATGCTAAAAATGTGCAAAGCAAGTAAATACCTCACTCTATAATATGTGATGTTAAAGAAGGCAATTATCATAATGTTCCATAGGTCACAGACAAAATATTAAGCTAGATAGTATGTTAGTCAGGTGCAAGGAAAAACATCATCAGCCCTGGCCGGGTAGTTCAGTTGTTTAGAGCATCTTCCTGTTATGCCAAGGTTGCAGGGTCCATCCCTAGTCAGGACAAATACAAGAATCAACCAATGAATGCATAACTAAGTGGAACAACAAATCAATGCGCGCCCCTCTCCCCCCCCTCTCTCTCTCTCTCTCTCTCTCTCTCTCTCTCTCTCTCTCTCTCTCTCTCTCTCTCTCCCTCCCTCCCTCCCTCCCTCCCTCCCTCCCTCCCTCCCTCCCTCCTTCCCTCCCTCCCTCCCTCTCTTTCTCTCTTTCTCTCTCTCATTAATCAGTAAAAAGACATCTCCATATCCCCATCACTTGACTCCACTTACTTGACAGTTAAAATATATGGTAGGCAGCAACAAGAAAATATCTTTAAAAGAATTTTTATTAATCTAACATGCCAAGCCTACTTTTTGCTTAGTATGAACACAAATTTTCTATATACCTGGGTTTTTTGTTTTTAATGTATTTATTAATTTCTGAGAGGCAGGAAGAGAGAGAGAGAAACATTAATGATGAGAATCATGGATCGGTTGCCTCCTGCATGCCCTCCTATACTGGGGATTAAGCCCACAAACTGGGCATATGCCCTGACCGGGAATTGAACCTTCTGGTTCCTAGGTCGATGCTCAACCACTGAGCCACGCCAGGTGGGCAATACCTGGGATTTTTGTTTATCTGTGTTTCATGGCCCTCATCTCAGCTACCGGTAAAACAGGCATTCGAAGGAAGTCTCCTAAATTAGTTCATGAAAATAAATGTTCATACTGTCTATGAATGTTTTTATTAATTTAAAACAACCCAATGTGTAGCCTACTTCATAAGCATATTTTTATCATTACTAATTTTTAAATTAAGTGAAAATAAGCACAAATGCTATTCCCAAAACTATTACAAAAGGAATATTATATCTCTGGAAGCCAATAGAGAGAATAAAAGTTAAACCAACAAACTGCCAGCATCATAAATGAAGGATACTGGCAACACAAACAGGAAATAAAATATTTGCCAGCCAGTATGGCTTAGCTAGTTGAGTGTCATTCCATGCACCAAGAGTTCACCAGTTTGATTCCTGGTCAGGGCTCATGCCCAGGTTGCGGGCTCATCCCCAGTAGGGGTATACAGGGGACAGCCAATCAATACTTCTCTCTCATCAATGTTTCATAGATATGAAATACACCCAAGAATGAAAAATACTGGCCCTGGCCACCGCTCAAAGAGGTGCTGAAGCCAAAACTGGTTTGGCTCAGTGGTAGAGCGTCGGTCTACGGACTGAAAGGTCCCGGGTTCGATTCCGGTCAAGGGCATGTACCTTAGTTGGGGGCACATCCCCAGTAGGGGGTGTGCAAGAGGCAGCTAGCTGGTCGATGTTTCTCTCTCATCGATGTTTCTAGCTCTCTAACTCAGTGGCGGGGCCAAGGTAGAGGCAGTGAGAGGCCAAGAGAGGAGGGCAGTTATGTTTGATCAGGTCAGGATGGGATGGCAGTTATGGGTGATCAGGCTGGTGGGGGGCGGGGCCATTACACCAGCATGGGGGCCAGTTGGGGGCCGAGCAGGCTATCAGTGGGGGTCAGTTGGAGGTGATCAGGACAGCAGAGGGGGAGGGGCAGTTTGGAGTGAGCAGAGCAGCAGGGAGCAGTTGGGGGCGAGCAGGCCAGTGGGGAGGAAAGGTGGGGTAAGCAGGCCAGCAGTTGGGGGTGAGTAGGCCGGCAGGGAAGGCAGTTGGGGGCAAACAGGCCGGCAGGCAGAGTGGTTAGGGGTAATCAGGCAGGCAGGCAGGCAGGTGAGTGGTTAGGTCCCAGCAGTCCTGGATTGGGAGAGGGATGTCCGACTGCTGGTTTAGGCCCAATCCCTGTAAACCGGCAATAAGATATCCTTCAAGGGGTCCCAGATTGGAGAGGGTGCAGGCAGGCCAGGCTGAGGGACATCCTCCCATCCCCCTGCACAAATTTCAGGCACTGGGCCACTAGTATTATGTAATACAAGCCTAAGTGACCGTTAAGGCAAAACAACCAGGCAAAACAACCAGACCGACCAGTCACTATGATGCACACAGACCACCAGATGGTAGATGCTCAATGCAGGAGCTGCCCCCTGGTGGTCAGTGTGCTCCCACAGGGGAGCACCACTCAGTCAGCAGCCGGGTTCATAGCTGGCGAGTGCAGCAGTGATGGCAGGTGCCTCTCCCACCTCCACTGCAGTGCTAAGGAGCAGCGAGCTGACAGTAAGAAGAAGCAAACAGACAGGCAGTAAGGAGCTTTTGGTCGTGGACTGTGAAAGGGTTCAGGCTGGCCCCTCAGTGTATATCGAACACATCATTCCTTGGATAGTTACTAAAATAAATTAAAATACAGATTTGGACATTACTAATAAAAATAGAAATGACAGCTGAATATTATATAACAGTTCATCTAGGGAAAAGCATCAAATGAACAGAGAAAATACTTTAATAGACTTTAAAATAAAATAAAAAATTTTAAAACCAATGAGTTGCTTAATTGTAGTAGGTAAGAATTATCTTGTTATCTTACAGGGAAAAAAATATAAAGATATCCATTAAAAGCATGCACAGAAGAGCCCCCCCAGCTGGTTTGGCTCAGTGGATAGAGCATTGGCCTGTGGACTGAAGGGTCCCAGGTCAAGGGCACATGCCCAGGTTGCAGGCTCCATCTTCAGTGGGGGGTGTGCAGGAGGCAGCCGATCAATGGTTCTCTTTCATCGATGTTTCTCCCTCTCCCTTCCTCTCTGAAATCAATAAAAATATTTATTTTTTTAAAAAAGCATGTACAGAAGAAAGACTTACTTCTCAGATATATTCTCAAATGTTTAATAACTTCCTATAGACTCAGAACTGTAAATAAATAAATAAATAAATAAATAGGACCATAATTAATGGGATCTTATCTAAGAGCAACCATACAGGAAACCCTCCTGAGGGTTTTGACATAGCAATGTATAAAATCATTGAGCATTCAACATAAGAAAGCCTTGCCTTTCAATTTTACCACTTTCAATTATACCCCTTGTGAGCGACAACCATCATTAACCCTTCTTTAATATCACTACCCTAACACAAACATGAATGAATAAACTAAAACTGTATTGTCCTTCCTGATGTGACAAATGCAAACTGAAGTCATTTCTGTTACAAGTGTATGTTGCTACAGGCACTTTCTGTTGAAACCACAAGCTGACACAGCACAGCCCATTAAATTAAATTGCTTCTAGGCAAGATTTTGCTCTACAGTCATGTAAAATGGTACACTCTAATTGCTAACACTCCTGCATCTGTTTATTTCATATCACCACCCTAGAACTCATAAGAAATACAAAGAGCTAATACCTCAAATACAATATATATGAGCCAGTTAACTTATACTGATTCTCCACATGTAATATTAAATTCATGAATTCCTACTTTGCTCTCTTGCACAGAACAATATTCTAACCTAATATTTAGACAAAAAAGCAACTTTGGAGGGTCAGTGTTTTACTACCAAACAAGAATGATTTTTCTCACTAAAGTAGAGGCTATAACACTTCCTCGACAAAGAAATTTAAGTTAAAAAAACAACAACTTATAAGTGATCCTATCTATTCCCTAGCAATTCAGGATAAGCAATTCAAGATAATCCAAACCAAATACCTATTTTATCTAATCTAGTTTCAAATACCAAGTGATAGGGCTTACATATACCAACTACCCTTGAGAACTTTGTTTCAAATTGAATTTATGGCATAGTATTTTCCAAGAGTAAGTCTACTGTAGTCCTTCATTTTATCTAAAATTTATAATAAAAATTCGGTCTATATCTGTGACCAACAAAAATATCCAACATGAAAACAGTCCACAAGAAACACACTAAAGATCTACCTTTCAGATGAGTCGGCTTATTTTCAATATTTACCCACTTCCCGCCACCTCCTCCCCTCAAAAAAAAAAAAAAAAAAAAAATCTATGCCCACAAATTTTCAAAAGTACCAGTAAGTGGGTATTAGGCCACTATAAAACAAACTTGGGATATAATGTGACAAATTATAAAGTTCTCTGCTCTTTAAATCAAAACTGATTCTGTCCTCTAAGTTTTCTTCTTCTTTAAGAAACATTTTATTAAAATATTAGCATAGAAAAGTCTACACACATCATAAGTATGCAACTTATCCTGGTAGCTCAGTTGGATAGAGCATCATCCCAATATAGCAAGCTTGACTCCCTGGTAACAGCACTTACAAGAAGCAAACCAATTAATGCATAAATAAGTGGAACAATAAATGACTACTTCTCTCACCTCCTCTCTCTCTCTCTCTAAAACCATGTTTTTTTTAAAAAGACGCTGAAACCGGTTGGTTTGGCTCAGTAGATAGAGCGTCGACTTGTGGACTCAAGGGTCCCGGGTTCGATTCTGGTCAAGGGCATGTACCTTGATTGCGGGCACATCCCCGGTGGGGGGTGTGCAGGAGGCAGCTGATCGATGTTTCTCTCTCATCGATGTTTCTAACTCTCTATCTCTCTCTCTTCCTCTCTGTAAAAAACACAATAAAATATATATATATTTTTTAAATAAAAAATAAAGAGGTTAAGCCCATGCCTGGCATGTAAGAAACACCTTAAAAATATATAAACAAACAAACAAATAAATAAAAATTTTAAAAAGTGTATAAATTTATGGATTTTTGTTAAGTTAATATATCTATTTAGTGAGCATACAGATTCAAAATATTTCCAAAATCCTAAAGCCTTCCTCTACCCTCTGATCATTACCTGCCCCTCAAAAGTAATCATTATTCTGACCTTTATCACAAACCAATTCTTCCGGTTCTTAACCTTCAAGATGATGTAAATAAATGGGAAGATATTCTGTGTTCATGGATTGAAAGACTCATTATTGCTGAGATGGCAATTCTTCCCAATTTGATCAATAAATTCAATGTATTCCCAATCAAAATTCCAACAAAAAATTTCATAGGTAATGACAAATTTCATAGGTTCTACATTTATGTAGAAAGGCAAAAGACCCAGATAGTCAACAGAATACTGAATGTTGGAGGAC